CCATGTTACACAGGACCACCACAACAGGCAGGCAGAGAAGGGGGTGGGAAAGAAGAAAGGCACACCAAGGAAGGAAGAAAGATAATCATGTAATAAAGTAAAAAGGTTGCCATATACATAAAAGAGGAAGCTTGAGTAGTATAGGAGGGCACTACACTACCAGGCATAAGTGTCATGGCTCAAGTATCTACATTTCCCTATGTTTCTTATTTCCTTACTTTTGCATTCACTTTCCTTATTTGATTGTGTTGTTTAACCCCTATGTGCTGTGGCTATTAGTGGCATGGCTTATCTGTGTGGCTGTGCACTTACCAGTGAGTTATATGCACTATGACATTGTCAGGGGTTTGTTAGTGGTTGTGCAGCTACACTTGTTTGAAATGTTCTAGGAGGTTCAAGGTTGGTCTATGTTAGTTTGTTAAGGGTTAAGGGCTCAGGGTCTGCTAGTTTAGCATCTCAGCATGGAAGGAGAAATTGGGTATATAAGAGGACTTGTCCTCCCACCATCCTATTTCCTTTCCTTTTCCCTTTACACAGTTATTTGTTCATTTCACTGAATAAATACTTGGAACCTCTACATCCTCATCCCAGTCCTTGTCCTCACCTCTGTCTCTGTCCCAGTTTGAGTCCTTGTCCTCTCTGCCTCTGTCACTCTTGCTGGTCCTCCTGCTTCTGTCCTCTGGCCTGTCTCCCACTTCTAAACATGGATCATCTTCAGTTGCTGCACAACACAGCTTTAGAGATTTAACATTGAAGTTTCTCAAGAGTACACATCACAGTTGACAAGTCTCGACAACAAGCCTAGAGCCCCCAAGTTCTCTGCCCAACACCCTGCCCATGACTGCCATTACACTTATATAACTGACTATTCTTTTTTCCTGGCACCCCATTATCCTACTTCCTGCAGGAAGTGGATGAAGGGTGGCCTGTAATGACTCTTGTCCTATGACTTGAGTCATTACTTGTGAGAATCCACATTCTCTTAATGTGTCTTCTAAGAGGGGTATGACATCCAACCATGACAGGCAGCCCATAATGGCTCTTGTCTTATGACTTGAGTCATTATTTGCAAGAATCCCAATTCTCTCAACTTATCTTCTAGGAAGGGTATGACCATTAGTAAGTCATTACTAAGACAGTCAACACTCTTTATGCTCTGTTAGGTGCTGGTTTTACCCCCACCCATTACAGCCAATGAGTCATGTCAGACATCAGAGGTGGGACTTATTCCAAGCCAGTTTCTCACATCTATGAGATGATTGAGTCATGCCATGAGTGAATTATGACATCATTGGATAGAGTCTAGCGCGGTCATAGATCTGTATTGATCCGATGGGGCCAGGCACTGTACCATATAACCACTCACAATTCTCCCATTGACTTGTCATCATCATCATGATTGCATATCATGGAAACCACAAGCTTACGACAAGACGAGGGCCTAATTGATTATTCCATTGTAATCAGGGCGAACTTTTAGTTTACCTTGTCAATATACCTTCTATCTGACCTCTGAAGAACCTTGCTTATCAAACCTCAATCGATAAATGCAAGCCAAGTGATCTCCGAGTCTCCTGACTGGTAATCGTTTTTAGTAAGTCAACTAAGAACAGTCAAACATCTTTACGCTCTGTTGGCTGCTCGTGTTACCCTCACCCCTTACACTTGATGAATCATGGACTAAGCGGAACATTCAATGAAGAAGTACGAAATACTGCAGGAATGAATCTTCTGTAAAAACGCCAGATGTATCATGATCTCCGCTGCGGCATTACAAACGTTTAGAGAACGTAGATGATCACGATTAAACTGACTACTGTCGCATAATACATTACCAATTTTCAAAGAAACTAGTCAAGCAAGTACTACAAAATTCCACATATTGCCAGCCCTCATCTATCGTGCGAACATGACTTGGAAAGAGATGTCTCTACGCCATCGGATCCAATCAACGCCAATGGTATTCCCCATTACTGGCATCGCGGGACAACTGCTGTCCCCCTTGCCCCTCATGTTGTCGCGTTTCCTGCGAAGGCCAGGAATATCCATGGGAAGGTTGCACCTGGTAATAGCGGTTATCCATGTTGGAAGAGTTTCCGTTGTCCAAATTTACACTCCACTGATCGGTTTGTGGAGATCAGTTACCGCCGGAGCATTGATCACCCTCATTGTTTTGTGGGTAGTTACCGCCATTGAGGGGTCTGCCAAGGCCGGACCTTGTGACCAAGTTGTTCTATCAGTTTGAGAAAGAATTCGTATTTGGAGGTGGTGTGAGGTGTAGGAGGGGTGGATTTGTTTTGTTTTGAATCACTATATTTGCTATAGCGACACATGCATTCTAGCTAGAATATGGCACCGCTGCCCAACCGGCCCATCCCGTAAGGGGCCTTACAGCGTCCCCCCCTAGTATTCTGTCCACCATCTAAATCATAATAATTGCGATAAAAGGCGTCAAACGTGGCACCCCCGCCTAACTCCCGTGACCGCCATATAATAAGTGAATAAAAAGCTAAAGAAATAGAAAAAAGAAAAGCACCCTGTAGTCTCTGGCCGCATGGCCTACATTTTGGCGTCCCCGTACAGAATCTCTTCTGGCTTGCCCCCCTCGGACTCCGTCAGCGGCCTCGTTCTCGGCTTGTTGCCCACCCCCGTCTTATTCAGAAAAGCCAGGATTGCTTCCGTCACTTTAACCTCATTGAATAACGCCGATATTGGCTTCCATTTGTGCTTCTGCCACCTCGGCCCGACATCCTATGCCACTTGCTTCCACAGAGTCTTGATATCTGCCTTCCAATGCCCGCATTCTTTGAAGAGATGCTGCCGTGTCTGCCGAATATCCTCTTCGCACCACCAGCAGGTGTCAGAGTCTGACGTCTTGATGTTATGCTTAAGATAGCGTGCAATAACTTCATGCCCCATAATGAGCTGGTAATACCGTGACGCCAATTCCTAGGAGGGGTGGAGAAAGAATGGCGGTTTAAATGGTCGCCTAATGCGAGTGACTCAATGTGATGCAACACTAGAATTACGGGATGGAACATCGTGCACCGATGTAACATGCGGCACTACACATCAACTTGTATTATTTCTTGCTGCTCTGCCCCTTTATTCGGCTGCTTGGGACCGAAATAATCGTCGGACAGAACTAAGCGTCACTAACTTGTCACCCGCGTTGTATATGAAAATCCACCTTCAACTTGATTGATTGATTGATTGTATCATATTATTATATCGCCAGACCGGGGTACGCTAATTACAGTTCGGCTGTCCTTTGTCTTCCTTTGCCCAGGGGTGTGCCCTATTCTCCCGTGCCATTCTCGTCTCTCCGTCTGTCTCGTCGTGCCGTTGTTTGTGTAACCTCGTTACCGGCCATACATTTACAGTCACAATCGATCACCCTGCTGCCTGCCGCACTTATTCCGTCGCCATTCTACGTCCCCTTCTATCCATTTTCTCACAACACCCCTGCTGCCTCTACTTCTGCTACTACCCCCACAATAAACGCCTCCGCTTCCCGTATTCTGTTTGCCATTCTATCTCGTTCCGTCTCTCTTTCCCCTTCTTCCGGTGCCTCTTCTAGTACATTCCATCCCCACGTCTCGTCCCTCTCTTCTTCTGCTTGTTCCATATCCTTTTCGGCCGTCTTATTCCCGATCTCAGTGGCTTGCAAGCATCCCTGTTTGCGAAGAGGTGCTTGAAATCGTGATGTTGCTAAAGGTGTCGTTTAACGTTCTTTTTCAGTTCCTCTCGTGCCTCTCGCCATTAAGGGCATCCTTTCATGAGATGTTTGACGGATTGCCGTTCCTCTGAGTCGCACCACCAGCATCTATCGGGTAATACCGGGTAGCCAATCGTTTGGAGGTCGTCATCATGAGTTTGTCTGGATATTGCTAATGGGGTAGGGTGTATCCAGGGCGGTCTCTCAGCGTTTGAACCAGCCACTCCTTGGTGTCCGTCGTTCTTTGCTCCTTGTTTCGGTGGTGTAGAGGGCTAGGGACGTGAAGTGTCCCCTGGGTTGTAGGCGTCTTGTCTATTGGCGTATCGGGGTCGATACTGCCGTCTTTGCTGCTTTAAAAAGTTTATCGGCGATTTCGTTGCCTTCAATCTCGGCATGGCCGGGGACCCAATTGTATTCCACCGTATGCCCTAGGTCCAGTATCCGGCCTTCGAATTCTGCAATTCTGTTTACAAGCCATTGTCCTGGGCCGGGGCGGGGGTCTTGGATACGGCGGAGTGTTGATGCCGAATCCGCCACCTTCAACTTGAAACTGAAGAATATGGTGACAAAAGTGTAGCGACAGATTCTGAGCTTAGATGAATGGTAGGGATAGACGGGTTTAACCAGAGCTTTGACCGTGGAATGCGGTGAGTATCGTAGTCGCAGAAGCTAGGGTCCAAAATCCGACTGTTCGGGAATTTGGATGCACGCGCTCCAGAGTGGCGAATATATCACCGAGAGGGGAATCTTCCAGGCCACAACGTAATGACGAGAATAGCAGGAGAAGTATCTCGTTTGGATGCCGTGTATAAAGAGCCTAGGCTATTTGCCGAGAGAGAGTCGACCGGAGAGAGTTATGTTGTTACGTGCAGTAGGCCGTCAAACAGTGAGCTGTCGACGGCGGGTCTGAAAAGCGCGTCTCTGAAAAGCGCGTCTCTATAAATGAAACCCGCTGTGGACAGAGACCGGTATCCGTCGGGTCGCGGCACAAATCAACAAGCGCCATAGCAAAAGTCTCGGGTGATGCGTCATGAAGAATCTTACGCAGGTTTCCGGCTCTCGCGGGTCGCTAGTCTCTGTCACGCACTCTCTGTGATTGGGATATTGATTGAAAGGTGTGGTTGAAGAGAGGTAATAAAGATAGGCCAGTACGCGTGGTGTTGACGCTTGGTGCACAAATTCAGACGCCGATTACTTATTTTATGCACCAAACAAGCTGCATAAAAACACCTGCATATTTTATGCATCTAGCTCCACCTCGACCAGCATCAGTAAAACAAAATGATTGCAGCCAGGTTTGAACTGGCGACCTTTCGCGTTCAAGAAACTGTAAAGCGAACGTGATAACCACTACACCATGCAACCATCTCATGTGATCCCCAATTGTTTATTTTAATAACATTTGCCAGAAGCCAAGAGTTGAGATTGGCGCCGCCATTTTTAATAAGGGGTTAGTTATCATATCGCTATCAGCCAAACGTAGGGATGAGTGGCTGGCCGAATCGGTTGTTCGTGGGCGAGTCGGGGGATTGTTACTCTCGGGAGAGCATCGTTTGCTGTGTGTTCTTATCAGTCGCGTCTCCTTGAAATACTAAAGACGCGTTGAGAAAGTGTGAATGACGGCATCGTGCAGAATGGCGCTCTACATACTCTAATAATAATAATAATAATCTTTCATTCTGTATGCAACCTTAATGTTTATGACAGTCGTAATTCCTATTACATTTTTTCCGAACTTAATCCAACGCTTGTCTATACTTAAGAAGGCATAGATCAGGTAAGCGGGGTCACTCTTGACACATGTCAAGTACCATTTCACTGCAGAGAGTGACTACTTATCCTGAGCACCAGGTAAACCTCCTTTGAGGCCAAACCCCGGTAACCAAGAGACACCTGTGACAGCGACACGGGATTCGAACCCGTTGGCTTTGCGCAGTTGCAGGGATCCATACCACTGCACCAATCTACATACTCTAAAAGCAATGCAGTTGCACCAGAAAGACCCCAGAAAGTGATCGCGTCGAACAAAGAAGGGTTTCCGGACAAGCGATGAGTTGCAGGACCTCGGCGTGTAGTGGAAGCTAAGTAAGTACGCACTTCGGTAGTTGAATGATAGATTCCGAATAAAGTTTCACTTCGGTAACTCGCGTGTCGAAGGTTGTACAGCGGAGAAGTGGTAGTTAGCCCGAGTCTGTGATAGATGCATTGGGCACAGACGACGAGGATAATACGAACGAGGAGGGATCGAACGTCGTAATCTGGCCGCGGCGATATTACTTCGTTGACAAGAATTTCGAAGACCGAGGCGAGCCGGAGGACGAAGATCAATACGACGAAGAGGAGAGAGAGAGAGTCGAGACAACCAAGATGTATTGAAAGAGATACAAAACGTTGCATGAAGAGGAAAGAAAGAGAAATACAAAGTCGGAAGGGTAGTCCTCCTTATATACTATCGCGAACCTCTTCTTCACACAACCCTATTCCAATGATCCTAATCCCAAAGCGCAATACCCAAACAAACGTAAATAACATACTAACCTAATAACCAATCCTTTCGTTGTTCCGTAAATACCCTAATCCCTCATTCCGTGATAACCCTCCGAAATTCCAATCACCAGGCATCACCCTTATTCTCAACACCATCATGTGACGATCTGCGACGTGAGAATTGGTGATTCGTCACGCCGTGACACAAAGTTAGGAATTGCGTGAGAATTAGTGACTGGGGCAGTAGCAGCAAGTTTGTCACAACTGTTTTGAGACTCACAGACTTTACCTGGAAGATTTTCCGTCTTATAAGTGCCAATCATACAGTCTCTTTGTCTCTTAAAATGAATAATTGATAGAGCGGATCTGTGCGAACATCTGTGCATATAACATCACTCGTCCTGCTAAATGCGACTGATAATGAATGGATAGGTACATGTCACTGAAGTACGAACTGCAGAGCAGCTAGTAGCCAGGAGCCATAGTCAAAGTGAGATAAAACTTGTATTGTATTGATGATTTTATCTCTAATGTGTATAAACAATGCGCCAGACAAACAAAGCCCTGCGCCTCTCGGACCAAACACTCAACAGGAATTTGCCATTTTGGGCGGTTTGGTGCAGTTGGTCGTTGAATTCCACCCAGTTTCTACTATGTCCATGTCTGAGGCTCCCAAAGGTCTCTTAAGCGAAAGTTTTAATCGAATATATGTCTCCTTCAAAACCAAATCATGACTCTGCAGTGCCAAGACGCTGTGTCATCATTCGCTTAATGTCTAACAAAGCCTCATGGTATTCCTTCCTCGCGGTCGGATCCGAGTCCCACCCTTTAGCCGGTGCCTTCCAGTGAGTTCGTAAATCAAATTCCTTGCCTGGATAATGTTTCTGAAATTCCTGGATGTAATCTGGTGCTCGGGTTGAGGGTCTCGAGACCTTGTCTAGTCTTTGATGACTTTTCTTTGACTGGAGAGGGTTGGAGTCTTTGGGGCTTTCGTGATTTTCCTTGAAGTTACGTAGTTCAATCATGTTGCGAATTGGTAGAGATGAGAGTGATCTTTGGTCGGAGATGTGTTGAAGAAGATACTTAAGATCGAAGAACTGGGCAAGGGAATATTTTAAAGGAAATCAAACAGATATCTATAAAGAGCCAAGACTTGTTGGCTCGGGGGGTAAACGGAATATATGTAAAACCAGTAAGGGGTGCTACTTTCAAAGGGGCTAACCAGGTATCCAAATGGTGGTGGGACTTGAATGAAGGAGCCGTAAGGAGTTAAAAGTGCACTGCGCGAAACAACCTGCGATGTTTCGTCCGTGTTGCATCGCTCCGCATCCTCACATATCTACAAGACTCGGGGCTCCACTACATCTTATCTAGTTGTATTACATCACACCGCTCTGGATGCAAAGGTTTGTTATTTATCTTGCCCTTGATAACCGTGGCACGATAAGTAAGGGGTATGAGGAGCTAATTGGTCGAGCATTCCTCGTTAATCAAGTAATCATTTAACGATAATGCGAAGCGCGACGATGATTAGCAAGTAATGGGATTTACAATGTGACTCGCTCTTACTGAGTGATCTCGCATGATAACGCGCACGTGATCACATGCCGCGATTCACGAATCGCCCCGACAAATACAAAGAAGACATTACAAATTTAAACATCTATAAATTCAAACTTTAACTATGCATAAATTCCACATAAATCAAAAGCATATGCAAACGTAGCGGACCCTAGAAATGACGTAAAATAGACAATATGGCAAGTGACGGCTCATCATAATTACACCACCTAATGCGACCTTTAAGTAGTGTATACCGCTCACATCAGACATTATGTCCTTTAAGGTCCTTTAATTGCGCCCGTAGCCCTGCTGGTTACGCTGCTGTTGGTTATACCCGCCTTGGGAGGCTCCGTATTCAATTCGACGGGTATTTCCACGGGAGTCTACGTATTCAAATTGACGGGCATGGCCACTGGAGGCTCCAGATTGAGCTTGCTGGGTATTTCTAGAGGAGGTATCGGAACGGCGTTGAAGATATCCACCGCTATTCTGATACCCTGCGTCTGGAAATCTCCACTTATCGGAGGGAGGCTGCACACCACGGCCGGTGTATGCTGGAGGCAGAGGCCGGTCGTTCGTAGATCTAGCGTTATATCCGGTCGAGTACGGGTGATTGTATCCAGGAGGAGGCCGATTGGGGGTGGCGCCGGATGCAATCATTGATTCAGCACTGGCGATACTGTCTCTGGCGTACGTGCGCGGGGCCCATTGTCGCTCAGAATAAGGAGAAAGATCTTCGCCTTCATCTTGGCGCGGCATTTCAGCTGTGATAGTAATAGATAGAAGACTGGTGATGGTTTTCAGAAGACTAGCTGCGTATTCGATTTCGAGGAAAGCTTGAGGTTGTGGATGATGATGTATGAAGTTCCCAGGGGATGGAGGGCTTTTATACTGCCCGTGTGGAGTCATATGATCATGAGAATCAGATTCACGAAGTCTAATATTGAATGAAAAAGTAAATACTAAAGAAGTCGTGCGTGTTGGAAAGTCTGCTAAATACTCAATCGACCGCTAATTAATCTTTATGGAGTGACATCAAATGGTTATGCGGACTTGTGTCAAAAGTTACTTGGTTCGCAAATAAGTGGTCACGGAAGAGCAAGCTACGGTATACTTAGATAAAGTGGATGATTGTATACTAATACTTATTAAGATTTCCCACTCATTAATTAAGACGGAACGACAGGAGAGCTGCAAAAATGACTGCGGCTAGTACCCAGTAGATGGATGGGGTATGCGTTCGACTCACTCGTCATCACTTGATGAGCACAACCATTGTATTGTTACATAGTTAACAAAGTATCAGATTTGATATATATGTAATTATATACATTCAGATACTTGCAGTAAAGCGCATGGATACAAGAATAAAATCAGAACTAACGACAAAATTCCACAATTCCGATCCAACCCTATCGCAATCCGACCGGCATCAATACCGAATGATCGACGTCACATCCGATAGTAAAATATTTATCAGAGATCTACTAGCGAGGCGGACTAGGTCGACCCAGAATATGCCATAGGGCATTATGATAGGCCTGTACAACTCTTGTATCCGATTGATGTATCACTGGTGGGGTCTGCTGCACGATACCAATCAGGAATTGGGAGACTTGTTTTACGGTCATAACCCGGGGCTGTTACCTGATGTGAATACTGGATTGGCCTGGTTTGTGGCGGAGTCTCGGGTACTTGACCGCCTTGCTGTAGTATGGCCATATTGGCCTGGTAGATGGCATACTCCTGATGCCAGCTCCACACTGGTGTATTCTGCCCTGATCTAGACATTTTGATAGTGTTTTCTGATATTTGTTTGTGTTTGTAACTGAATGCTGTTCCGGATCTGAGCTGCGAGAGGAGGTTGATGCGGATACAGATGATGCTTGGAGGCGAACGAGGGTTTTATAGGTGCCCAGAGGTCACACAAGTGGATTCCAGGACCTGAGATAAGAAGTCCTTCAGTATTCTATTCAACGGAGAACAGTATCCGCTCCATGTACACTACGACATCAGTTACGTACCCCGCATACCGTTTACAACAAAAATGGTCTTCTATCTATTATTTTGTTGCCCCAGAAACTAAAGTTAAGCCACCGGGGCGACTTGGCAATAAGAAATGGTGTTTGTCTCGAAGTGTTGCATGGAAACTAGACCTTTAGATGGTTGGTTGAGCCTCTAGGTGCGGCTCTGAGGTGCAGGCGGCGGCCAAGCCGGGGACACGCTAATTGAAGGCGAACTTTGAGACTCCCGCTCCCCTTTTCACATCATCACCAGCATCACCTCGACATCGCCGGCCGCTCTTGTTCGTCAAC